AGCATAAAAATGAAAACATAAAAACACAAAATCAATGAGAAACAATGAAATGCTGTATTAAATGACACTGTTAAACGTCAGTGAAAACAGGTGTGTTTTTAGGATAGATTTAAAAGCAGGGAGTGGAGTGGCCTGTCTAATGTTGAGGGGCAGATTGTTCCAGAGTTTAGGACCCATGACTGAAAAAGCCTGATCTCCTCTGAGCTTCTGCCTGGTTTTTGGTACAACCAAAAGCAGCTGGTCAGATGATCTCTGGCCTGAGAAGGAACATGTGGATGAAGTAGGTCAGAGAGGTATGAGGTTGCAAGGCCATTTGTGCACTTAAAGGTCAATAGGAGAATTTTAAACTCAATTCTGACACGCACAGGGAGCCAGTGAAGGGAGGACAAAACTGGTGTAATGTAATCAAACCTATGAGTTCCCGTTAACAGCCAAACTGCAAAATTTTGGACAAGCTGTATATGTGAAAGGGACACCTGACTGACCCCAACACAAAGTGCATTACAGTAGTCAAATCAGGTAGTAATAAAAGCATGGACTAGTTTTTCAAGGTCAGATCTGGACAACACTGACTTAAGCTTAGCTATCTGCCGGAACTGGAAGAAGCTTCTCTGCAAAACAGAGTTGGTTTGTTTATTAAACTTAAAGTCAGAGTCTAAAACCATCCCAAGATTTGTAACACATTGCTTAAGATACGGCTGAAGAGAGTCAAGATTTACAGGGTCAGAGACATCAATAGAGCTAGGGCTAAACACAATGACTTCAGTTTTCTGATCATTAAAACGTAAAAAATTTGAAGCTATCCATGCCTTGATGTCATCAAGACATTTTAACAGAGGGCGAATGACGCAAGAACTATTAGGTTTTAAGGGCAGATAAATCTGACAGTCATCAGCATAACAATGAAATAATGTCAGGATAAACCCCAAAGGGAGCAGATAGAGCGAAAACAAAAGGGGTCCAAGAATCGAGCCCTGTGGGACCCCACAGGAAAGAGGCACTGATGCAAATACACTATTTCCAACCTTAACACAGAAGCTCCTGTCACTTGGGTAAGAACAGAACCACGCTAATGCTGCACTTGTAATCCCAACCCAGTGTTTTAACTGCGATATAAGGATACTGTGGTCAACAGTATCAAACGCTGCAGCGGTAAGGTCCAGGAGTACATGTATCGCAAACTGTCCTGAGTCATTTGCTAACAGAATGTCGTTATAAACAAACGTGTTTGTTTGTTCTGTTATCAACAGTAGTGTTTGTTCTCATGAAGAACAAACATTAGGCAAAACCACAATATGGGTCTATTTCAAATGTATCTAATTATGTTTTTTTCTGATCAGGAGGACCTTAAAATATTTAGAAAGAAAATTAGTTAGTTTTGTCCAGTGATTTAAAATTTTGAACATTTTTGTAAATAAAAAATGCATCTTGATATTAGTATGAATGTGTAGCTCTCTCACTACAAATGTACAGATTGGTACTAAAGAAGATAACTGGTCTACCACAGTCATTTGTTTTACTGATGTATTTTTTTCTCCCTCTCAAAACTAAGCTGGTTAGAACTCCAGGATAAGAGGTGAATGAGCTTGAGACTAAAGCCCAGAGTTGAAGCTAGAGTTACATTATAGGCTCTAATCCTGCCTTGTAGTGCCAAACCTTGGTTTAGAAAAATCAACAAAAAGGCATCTGGGTTTGATTAGCATGACATCAGTCAAATTGTATAGCAAAGGGTGTTATAAAAATACAATTCTGTTCTGCAGTGTACTTGTTTTTTTTTGTTGTTTTTTTTACTGATAAGCTTAAAAATGTGGGAGGAATTCTGTTTGGGTCAAGGAAAGAGTTGGAAGCCTTGGATCCAAATCTCTTTTTTTTTTTTTTTTTTTTTAATTTAGGGTACATAATTTATATTTGTCTGATGTGTTTAGTTTCAGTTAGATTTTACAACTTTTTAACAACACTTTTACAAATGTCCATAAGAAAGCCAATATAATGCAATAATTTTCTCTCCTCTAATTGAGATCTGCTTCCAAACATTCCTGGGTTTGGTTTTACACAGATACAAAGAGCGCTATTAAAAAGAACTCTGGCAAGAAAAGGCAACAACTTTACTACAGCTTGAGCCAGGAAGTAGAAACATAATAATTAGGAAACTAAGTTAGATTGCCCAGGGAAAGAAAAACAAGAAGACCAAGCAATAAACTTTAATGAAATTCATGTGTTTGTGATTTTGTTGCACTTCTGTGTTTAATTCGGCATCGGACGTCTGCGACACAAAACTGACTTTCCTTTTGCTGAATTACACACCACAAAGTCTATGGATTATGTTAAGTAGGGTGTGGCCATTAATGCAAATGTCAGTTGTTCGATCTCCAGCTCACCTTGAATCAAGTCAGAGATCTCAAATTCTAAAATATCTAAACTGACGTTTGAGTACTTGTACTAAAAAGGGTTTTACGTTTGGCTTTGGCTAAAACACCTTGACTGCTCTGCTATAAAACTAGTTTATTTACATTCAGAAGCATAGTTCAGACATGATGCTAAAATGCTTACAGGGTGATCCAATCACAAGTGGACCGTACAAAATACAGGTCAGACTGAACATGCATTTAGATCCTATTGCTCGAACCACATTCAGAGCTGATCTGGGATTCATTTACCCACAGTTGGCAGAGTGAGAGTAAATCTTATAGACAGGCAGAGTGAGAGTAAATCTTATAGACATGTATTAAAGTATTAGGCTATACTATAGAGCCTAATAATTTAATACATGTCTAAGGTTTACTAAAAGAAATTGGAAGTTGAAGCCAGAGCTGTCACAGGGTCATCACTACAGGTTGGTCCAAGTGCAAGTTTTAGGATTTACTCCTGCATGTAAATTCATGGGACTTTGTTCTTGGGAAAAAATAATTAAACCCAACTCGGATAGTTTTTTCAGGTCGACTCTTATTGATTCATGTAGTTCTTACATTTTTGTCTTATGTTCTAATATTATTTTTCTAATATGTTTAGCTGTAATTGGTAATTTATTAAAAAGAAAGCTTACAAGTCACCATGATTGTGGGTGGGGAGAGGGTGGAACCTGAAGCCCCACATTTCTAGTGGCAGCTCCCATAAACTGGTGCTTCAGCTCCCCAAAATAAAATATGGTAGGGGTCTTCTATTTTATATGTCCATGGCTGCATTAAAGAACCTCCTACTGAGTGCTGTATGAATGTGTGTGGAGGTAAATGAGGACACAGATTGTGTTGTAAGCACTTTGAGTATCTTGATTAGATAGAAAGATACTATACAAGTGCAGTCAATTTACCATTTATAGTCTGTATATTGTATGTGCACCCATACAGAGCCTTTATACATTGCAAAGCATGTCGACGTTGCTGTTGTGATTCAAGGCAAATTCAAGTTAGCTTGTGTAAGGAAAAAGAAAATGTAGAGTAGTAATCACAGAATATCTGTATTATAATCGTGTCTATACGGGAAACATTTAAGAGACCTTCCTGCTGTTTTTGAGTAACGTTTCTTGCATAAAATTTCTTTATCGCTCAATCCTTTTTCTTTGTCTAGTGCTCTTCAATCCTTTTTAATCAGTTTAGAGTCTGTCCAGATTTTCCAGCAGTTCAAGGACTGCTGGAATGGCCTTGAGATGACATCCACATAACCAGCTTTGTATTTTTATCTCCATAGTCTGTTTTCAGCTGTAAGGGAGGTACACTAAACCTACAAATCAAAATACTGGGTCTAAATTCAGCACAAGCACAACTGTAACCACAACCACAGTTTTACTTCTTACTGCAGCAGTGTGTGTGTGTGTGTGTCTGTGGTAAGAGGAGCGGCGGGAGGTTTTCACACACAGGTGATGCCAGAAAGAGCTTGTTAATTAAAGAACATCTTGTTTCTTGAATGAAATACAGATCCTGCCTTTCTGAATCTGTTCTAACCTCATGACACTGACAATAGAAACAGTAAAGGTTTTCCTGGATGTGTGTTGTTTTGTTGGACTTGTGTACTTATAGTACTTGCCGCCGTACATGTTGCACCGCCATATAAGTCGCATCAGTCCAAATGTCTAATAAAGTGGAAAAAAAACTCATGCGTTGCTTCGCCATATATGTTGCATCTATTATGCGTCACCGCTGACAACCTGGAAATGTGGGCGGTGTTGTGCCAAAAATCGATTGGTTGCCAAATGGCAGCCGCAGTAGCATGCACGGGAGGACTTTAGCAAGAATTTAACAAGATTAACACTTAAAAACAATCATTTGTTTGCTCAGAATTATAGCAAAGGTATGTCTCAGTTGAACATTTCCTTCATAAATGCACTTTAATGGTCAAATCAGCTGTATTTCAATTTCAAAAGCCGATTCGCAGCTGCTGGAGTGCACAGAGGGAGGACTCGCTGTGCATTTATTTGAAATTTACCAAGATAACCACCTCAAGACAATTATTTATTTGCTCAACATTATAGTAAAGGTGTGTCTCAGTTGAACTTTTCCTTCATAAATTCACTTTAATGATCAAATCAGCTGCATTTCACCTGGGCGTTGCGATGAAATGCAGCTGATTTGACGTTTGCTCCAGGTGTTCTGGAGCGAGACGGAGGTGGCTCGGTATGGCAAGCCAAGTGTCTCATTAATAGCCACTTTTACCTATTAATGAGACACTTGGCTTGTCTAATTACTCGAGCGCCCTGTAACAGCTGAAAATGATAGTGTTCAATATTTTCCATGTCAGAACGAATGAAATCGTCAGATCTCAGCCAAAGATTGGGTTTTAGATATGGGGGGGAAAACATAAATAAGTTGCTTCGCTGTATAAGTCGCAGGGCATGCTAATTTATGCAAAAAGGTGCAACTTTTACGGGGCAACGTACAGTATATATCAAAATCTTTATTAAAGTTTCCCTTTAATGTGTGTAACAACTGCTGGAATGGAAAGTTTTCAAATTTTCAGACTGATTAATTTTCCTATCTCCCTGTTTCTTATGATTTTTTTGTGTCCAGCTGGCCTGTTGCTGCGGATCAGCGGCCTGCTCGTGCTGCTGTAACTGCTGCCCAAAGATAAAACAATCCACGGGGACCAGGTTTATGTACGCCTTGTACTTCTTGTTGGTCACCGTCATCTGTATCATTATGATGTCCCCCACTGTGGAGCAGGAGATGAAAGATAACGTGAGTCACTGTAATTTATCAAATTCATCGACGGCACACACACACACACACACACACACACATTAAGCAATGAAAATATGTGTAGTTCCCTTAGAAGTAGGAAGAAGAAAATCCGTGCATTTCTAGACATCAACTACAAAGGGTCTGCTCCGTTTGTGCACTTTTTTTGCAGTTTGTTTCAATTTGAAGAATAAATGTTTTAAATGTGCACCATTTAAGCTTCATTTCAAATGGGGAGTGGGTGGAGATGTTTATTCTCACTTCCAGCAGGGTCTAATAAATAATTACTTTGTTAGTTCTGTGGTTACATTACCAGTTTCTCAACCACCTCAGCTTGGAGCTGCGCAGTGTGTTCAGCTGGACAGGTTTCATTATGGCTGGGGACTTCCCATGATGCCTCAGAGCTACCAGTGTTGTACAGTTGATGACTCAATGATTCTACTAAACAGCTTGGTGGTGAGAGTATTTGTTCACCAATCTTCCTATTTTCTTTAGTTTTTCTTTCTTTCAGTGTTTGGGGTACATTGTTGAAACATTTCCCTGCTGAGTTCCTTCTTGTCATATGAAAATTTTATAAGACACGTTCGGAAACAAAATGGCCTCTGAGAGCCCTGCTCAAAGCCTGCCGAGTTACACACACATCCATACAGGCAAATACACACCGTCTCACACACACACACTGAGCGCAGTGGGAAGGCCCAGCTAAGAGAGCAGTCATTGTTTGCTCGAGAGTGCTGATCTTTTCTCAAAGAGATTTACAGCAGTCTGAAACAAGCAGATCCTTTTTCTCTCCATCACCACACCATGGACATGCTAATATGCTCCTTAAGCACGAGACAAAAGCTCCAAAATGGGCTTTTTGCTTTATGTTGTGATTTGGCTCTGAACTTTGCTACACACTAAAGAGATGACACCTTAATTTGCTAGGGCTCCCTTGTGTACAACTGAACTCTTTAAAGCACTCTAGAGTTGATTTGTCAAGCTAAATGGAACCATTTATAGTTATTTTATGGGATTTTCTCTGATTTTGACTCTCATCGCTGCACCAGATATTTAGGCTTTCATTCTTTAAATTCAATTCAGTTTTATTTATATAGCACCAAGTCACAACAGAAGTCATCTCAGGGCACTGAACAGAAACATTCATATATAAAAATAATAGTTTAACACTATTTATCTCCATCACTAAACTCTTATCTTGAGCAAGCATGAAGGAGACAGTAGAAAATAAAAACTCCCTCATGAGGAACCTTTAGCAGAACCAGCTCAGAACAAGTGGCCATCTGCTCAACCGGCTGGGTTTGAGAGGAACAGATACACAATGGCAGGTCAAGAATCACATGTTAAGATAGAAATAGTATCAAATGAAAACTATTCAGTTGTAACAATTCTTTTAAGAAAATTAGGTCAATCTGTCCTCTAGTAGTCTAAGCTTTAAGGCAGCATGACAAGCCAACCCTAACTATAGGATTTATCAAAAAGGAAAGTCTTAAGTCCAGTGTTAAAACTGGACAATGTGTCAGTCTCGGACAGAAACTGGAAGTGGGTTCCACAAGAGAGGAGCCTGATAACTGAAAGATCTTCCTCCCATTCTGCTTTTGGGAACTCTAGGAACTGCAAGTGAGCCTGCAGTCTGAGAGTGAAGTGCTCTGTTAGGAAAATATGGAACAGTAAGATCTTGAATATAAGATGGAGCTAGGTTGTTGAGGGCTTTGTAGGTTAGAAGTAAGATTTTGAATTCAATTCTGGACTTGACGGAGCCAGTGGAAAGAAGCTAAAACTGGAGAGATATGATTTCTCCTACTAACTCCAGTTAAGACTCTGGTAGCAGCATTTTGGATTAACTGAAGACTTTTTAAAGAAGTATTTGGACACCCAGATAATAAACCACTGAAATAGTCCAGTCTAGAAGTGACAAATGCATGAACCAGATTTTCTGCATCATTTTTAGATGTTTCTAATTTTAGTGATATTACGCAGGTGGAAGAAGGCAGTTCTAGTAACGTTTTTAATGTGGGGGATAAAAGACATCAATTCAATCAATCAATTCAATCAATCAATCAATTCAACTTTATTGTCCATAACATTCAGTGAAATGGAAATTTGTCTTTGACGTCTGGCTTATAAAAACAACACAAGATAAAAATGTGATTAAAAAATTTTTTTTAAAGCTTTGCTAAATCAATTAAAAACATTCAGTTAAAACCATTATAAAATACACGATACATTAAAATATGGAAACATCCCAGCAGACAGTGGTTTGTTATGTGAGGCTGCGTTTAAATAGGGCCTTGTTAAGTACATTCACTGCAGAGGGTACAAAAAGTCATTTGTTCCCTTTCATTTTTCCTTGCTAAAGGTACCAGGAGTCTTCTGCCAGATGGTACCAACCTGAATGATGGTTGCAGTGGATGAGTTGGGCCATGTCCTGATCAAAAATAACACCAAGATTTTTAACAATAGAGCTGGAGGCCAGATTAATGCCAACCAAGGAGGGAGAAAGACTGACAGAACTTTGCTTCTCAAATTCAGCAGGTGTCTTTTCTGTCTGCCACCGAAGCAGTTTTCTATTTAAAGCCACAGCAATGTTCTTATTTACATGACTTTACTCTAGTTTTGCCTCTTTTTTTGTAATGCACTTTGTTGTTTGTTCAGAGAAGCTTTTTGGAGACTAAAATTGAAAAGGAAAACCCGGTTTTTCTCTGCGCTGCGTTCTGCCTGTTCCCCCCCTTCTCGTTTCGCTGACTTGGTGACAAAAGCCGTTTAATTTATTCATCTGAGGCCTTTGTTTGTGTTCACTGACAGTTGGTTGTAAGGCCTCTCTTACAGGCTGGAGAGAACGAAGGATGAATGAGGGCTCCACGGAGAGAGGGCGCATTTGTTGTTGTCTTTCTGGTCCTTTTTAGAGGCGTGACAGAGAGAATAGACACTACTGGGCCCGTTCACTGAGGCTATGCACTATACAAACATGAGTAAAGGTGGGTTTCCTTTCACCACCATAATGATCTAATCTTGGTGTTTTGGTTAACAGATCCCCTTCTACAGCCAACTGTGTGAGCAGATGAATGCTGGGGAAAACTGCAAAACTCTAGTTGGATACTCTGCTGTCTACAAGATGTGCTTTGGAATGGCCTGCTTCTTCTTCTTCTTCTTCATCATCACCTTTCGAATCAACAGCAGCGTCGGCTGCAGGGCGGCCATACATAATGGGTATAAAGAACTTTTATCTTTTTTATCAGTTTGTTACACAGTTCACTCATCTGTAGGCTTTAAAGAAAGAAAGAAAAGCCAAGCCCATTATAAAAAGATCAGGGCTGCATATTAAAGCATGAGTTCAGATCTTTTGAAGTGGGCTGCTGTGAATAAGTTATAAACGTTTAATATTTTACTTGTTGTATGTAGCTCGTTGAATAACCTCATTTTGGAGAAAAGGTCTAATTCTGACTGGACTGGCGAGCGAACAGCTAATCCGAGTGAGGCCAAGACCAAAGGAGATTGTTTTGATCTTGAAACGCCAATGTCAAAAATTCAAACCGTTCTTGTCAACTTTAAATGATCAATATTTGTATTGCCATCAGTTCGACAGTGCATGGTTATTGAATTAATGTGTCTGTTTGCAAGCACCAAAGCTAGCTGTAGCACATTCAGTACCACCTGGAGCTCTTCTGATTACAAATTATATTTTTGCTTCAGTGCCTGTGATGTAACTCTGGTGGCAACATAAAGGTTTATGAAACTGCACTCACGTGAACCACTACGGGTTTTTTCCCCCAAGATGGTAGAAATCCACTTTAGTCTTGGGTCCACTCAGACTAATTGTTGTCTGTAAGATTTCAATGAAATTGTATTTATTCAGAGTGAGTTCACTGTAAGAAGTATCCACAACAAAAATGATCTTAATTGATTTTAACTTTTTCACAGAAGCCCTCTTCAATAATTATGAAGCTTTCTTTCAAGCAAATAGTTTATTTTTTAAATAAAATTTGTGTGTGATTTAACAAAATTACATTCCTTTTGCTTTATGTTCTAAGGGAGAAAATATATTCAATATAGTTTATTTTGAAAGCTTAAAAAATAAGAACTAAAACTGGTTATGCTAACCCCAAGAGTAAAATACGTTCCTTTAAAGATATTTTGTGGAGTTCTTCTTACCCTAAGACGTCCGTATTGGCATAATAATTTAAATTATTCATCCAGCTACTATCAAAATCATTAAAACTGCAGCCATTTTACTAAGAAGTATCTTTCTTTTCTTTGTTTTTAGTCTGATTCTTTTATATACTGTATATTTTTATCTCAATTGCTAGGTTCTGGCTGCTCAAGTTTATTTTGCTGGCGGGTTGCTGCGCTGGAGCTTTCTTCCTCCCACAAGAGGAAACCTTTGTGGAAGGTAAAAACCGATTTATAAAAAATAAACTGATTATTTCTCTCTATCTCGTTTAAAATTCCTATATTATATGACTTGGCTGTGAAGAGGCTTTTTACATGTCTGCCTTCGGACTGGCACTGCTAAAATGAGAAAAAATGAAATACAGTTTTTAAAACAAATTTAATTCTACTTGTGCTGGAAAAAAAATGTGTAAAATATCATTTTGCTTAATTTTTTTTTTAGATAAAATTGCACAATTTTAATTTACTATTTATAAAATGTTACTGTTGTAGCTGCTGAAACAAATAGCTCATGTGCAGAGCAGTTTTACATGCAGGGGAGGCAGAAACAAACGATAAAACAGAAAAGTCTGAGCAGTTCTTCCACATAATGAGAGCACAGATGTAAATACTAAGTTTTTATAGACCAATGTGTGTTCAGGACTTTGATGTTTTATCATTTCCACACTTCCTTCCCTGCCACAGTTTGGCGCTACATCGGCGCTGCGGGCGGGTCACTCTTCCTGCTGATCCAGCTCAAGTTGTTGGTGGAGTTTGCATACAGATGGAACATAAACTGGTGAGAGCCACACGCCTTTTGGTTTTGTTTCCTCTCTAGGACTTGCAGGCTCACCGTGGGGACGTCACTTAAATAAAATCTGTGTCCTGCTTTTTGTTTTGATGTAGAAAATCTCAAAAGGGTGGAATGTATTCTTCTGTGTTCGGGTGAAAAGAGGAAGTCAGGCAGCTTTGTACTTTAGTGCGTGGGCGGTGGAGAAGCGGGCAGATCTGGCAACTTCCACAGATCAGAAGACTCACTGAATGCACACAGTTTTAAGAGTTTAGCTTTCAAGTCACACAGACACTATAGTCAGATGTTTCTCAAATGTATCTGTTGTAGTAAATTCAAAGCCACAATAGCTGTCAGATTACATAATTTTTTTAATTTGAATTTTTAAGGTACGTGGGTCGTTTTTTGATTGTTGGGGTCATATGGAAATGAACTGAGTCAAGATGGGAGAATTTCCTGTAACTGACTGCAGAATTCAGCTGTAACACTATTTTAACACCCAAACAATCATTTAATGATGTATAGAAGTTGCGTTAGAAGCATAGAAATTCTAATAAAAACAAAAATTTGATGTGTTGTTACAGCTATTATGGCTTTAACCTTTCTAAATGTGCACGTTTTGGTCGCTGAGTATTAAACGTGAATGTTCAGCATATGTAAAACGTTTGTGAAAGCACTGAAATAACTGTAAACTGATCCTGTCCCCTCAGAATGAAATTATAACTCATCAAACGTTATTTTCTTCTATCATTTTCTCCAGGACAATTCCTCCTGGGTCACTTCTTTTTAAGTTTTCACCCCTGTTGACTTTAGTTTATTTTAACTCCTTCGGTTGGATATTCCCTCGTTTTCATTGTGTTTTGTGTTTTCCTTTGTGCTCCTTGTATTCTCTCCCTTCTCTCTTTCTGCCTGCAGGAGTTCAGGGGTGGAGTATAACCGTCTGTGGTACGCAGCGTTGGCCTTTGTCACTCTGGTTCTGTTCAGTGTTGCTGTGGGAGCTGTGGTCTTTATGGGAGTGTACTACACACACCCTGAGGCTTGTTTATTGAACAAGATTTTCCTGGGCATCAATGGCAGCCTCTGCCTTATTGTCTCGCTCCTCGCCATTTCCCCCTTCATACAAAAATGTAAGAAGCCATACTTGCCAGTCCTTTATCTCGTTTGACTTTGTAATGAAGAAAACTTAATTTTTTTTATTGTGGTTTACTGTATCAAAACAATTAACCAACGTTGTTATGTTTTAAGAGGGTAGCCTTATTGTCATGTCAAAGTAAAAAGCTTAGAAATCTTAAATATAGACGTTTTAAATTTTTTGTGTTAACTTTTGTGTGTTTGCAGTGCAGCCCAAATCAGGCCCGTTGCAGCCGGGGGTCATCAGTGTGTACGTCATGTATCTCACTTTCTCAGCCTTCTCCAGCAAACCAAAGGAAAGTGAGTACAAACTCATATCTAGACAAAGTAGTCACAGCCATAAATGAAAACTACCATATGTTTCAGACTTTAAGTCACACTTTTTTTCATATTTTGGCCAGTCCTGCGACACATAATATGAATCGACTTAATTTACTTTTTTCCCCCTATTCACGATGCAATTTTTGACTGACGCGTTAAATGTTCATTCATCCTGACGTGAACCAAAGAGCAAACATTACCATTTGCGGCCATGAGAGGGCCCTCTAGGCTTTTGACAACTGTATGTTGTTCCTGTTCTGCTAACCTCGCCCATCTTCCTCCGGAGTTGGCGGAGTTGTTCAGAAGCGACATCGAGGATGGTTAACTTGCTTGTCGGACTCGTTGGCTTGTTATGTTAATTAAGCCTGTTCAGGATCCCAGGTGTGTTCTGTGTGCGGGCGCCGCGCGCGAACATATAACGGTCGAGAGCGGCGGGCGCTCAACCCGTGTCTCTGCTGTGACTGACACAGAAAATAAAAGGGAGGGGACGGGGGGAGGTGTCTGTCTTTCTCCTTCGCTACAGTGCAGCTTCAGTGAGACCGTGCAAGAGCAGCTTGTTTTTTTAATTTTTTTTAAATCACTGTTTTTTAATTAAAGTTTTTCTCTTTATACATACAAATAGGAATCTGTGTTTACAAAGGAGTCGTGCATATGATCTGTTTAACAACATACTTAAACAAAAACAAACAATCATCAAAATAATCCCATTCACTCCTATCCAGGTCGCTGCCCTATGTCCGCACATTACATCCATACACCTGACAAAAAGGGAGAGCACATTTTAATTATAATTAAAAAATAATAATAATTCACCTGAAATATTATTGTACATTTTGGAATGTATCAAGAAAGGGGTCCCATGTTTTTTTTTAAATTTCCCAGTAGAGTGCTGAACAGAACCTTATTTTTTTATATAACCACTGTTTATGAGTTGGAGGGGCAACACCCTTCCATCTGATTAGAATTGCACGCCTCGCTAACAAGGAACAAAAAAACATCTGTCTTTTGGAGGCTGATAGAGGCAACTCTTCACCACCGATGCCAAAAAGAGCCAGGAGAGGGCTAGGTGTTACTGCCACTCTGAGGAATCTGGACAGGGTGGTAAATACATCTGTCCAGGAGTGACCAAGGCTGGGACAGGACCAGTACATATGAACCAGTGTGGCCTCAGCAGTTTTGCATTTGTCACAGTATGGGGTGATTTCCAGATAGATACAAGACAGTTTGCTTTTGGAGAAGTGGGCTCTATGTACCACTTTAAACTGAATAAGACATGGTCATGTGCACAAAGATGTTGTATTAACAAGTTTAAGTATAGAAGCCCATGTCTCATCTGGAATGGTCATGTCCAAGTCCTCCTCCCATAAAGTTTTGAGTTTGGGTGAGGAGGTCTCCATCATGTTCAGCATTAGATTGTAAAGCCATGAAATCAGCCCTTTACAGGTCGGGTTCAATAGTAAGATGGTTTCCAACAGTGTAGGCTGTGGTAGAGAAACTGAGCCTGAAAGATAGGATTGAATAAAGTTTCTGGCTTGTAAATATCTGAAAAAGTGGAATTGTGGTAGATTGTACTTATTGCTAAGTTGTTCGAATGATGCTAATTTCTTTGCAATGAAAAGGTCCTTAAAATGAATAAGACTGCTCCTGTGCCACCCCAGGAACACCCCATCCTGAACAGATAGTTTAAACAAATGGTTAAGTGCAATGGGGCTTAGAGGGGAAAATCCTGAAGTTTAAAATACTGTATTTCCTAAACTGGCCCCATATTTTTAGTGAATGTTTCAATACAGGATTTAAAATGGAGTTGGGTGAGGAGAGTGAAAGTGGAGAACAAAGCATAGCCGGTATATATATATATATATTATGTTGTTGTGTAATTCCATAGTCACCCAGTAAGGGCAGTTACTCAGGTTATGGTAAAAATACCAGAACACTAAGCATCTAAGGTTAGCAGCCCAATAATAAAACTGAAAGTTGGGGAGGCCAAACTCCACCTCCCTCCTCTTTAGGTTTTGAAGATGCATCTTATTAATAAGCCCTGGACGTTTATCTCTCCAGATGTAGGATGAAAAAATTGAATCCAGCTTGTTAAAAAATATATTAGGATTAAAAATAGGTAGTGCCTGAAAAAGATATAAAAATTTGGGTAATATAGTCATTTTAATTGAGTTGATACGTCCTACCAAGGACATGGAAAGTGGCTTGTTTATTTAAAATAATAAAGCGCGGCCTGAACCGAGCCTTTAGTCCAGTCCCTCGGTGACCACTGAGCGGGTCAGGCCACCGGGAAATGTTCCGGCACTCCCGATGGACAGTCCGCCCCTGTGTGTTGTTATTTCACATTAAGTGTCTGTTCTTGCACTTTGTGAAATACACTTCTAATAAATGTGACTTATGCGCCGAAGCGACTTACAGTATATATGTTTTTTTCCTCTTCATGAGGCATTTTTTGACTGCTGCGACGTATAATCTGGAAAATACGGTAATTTGGATGGATAGATAGATAGATACTTTATTAATCCCAGGGGGAAATTCGAGTCATTCAGTGGATGGGTAATTGTTATTTACATTAAATGACTAGCATTTTCAAGTTTTGCTTAGTCCTGCACTGGCTCATTTGTATGTTAATAACTAAACAAAAGAAGTCTTAAAAGGTATTTAAATTTGAAATAGGAATTTTTCTGGCTACAAGTTTTGTCATTTCCTTTACGTTTGCACTTTCGTTTTAGTTTTAGAGATAGACGGTAGGAACGAAACTGTGTGTGTGTTCCCCTTCAACTCCGGCACAGAAAGCGACAAGAAGATCGTCACCACAATTGGAACCATCATCCTGTTCGCCTGCATCCTTTACTCTTGGTAAGACGAACACATTAACGTTTTACATTATGGCTAGAACCATCACAAAAATATATTGCAGCCTTATCTTTAAATAAAGTTGTATGTTTTGAAGCAGTCCTTTTCAGTGATTAGGACAAGTTCAAATAACACAAATGCCATCACAAAAGTTGCTTCGAGCCAAGTTTGTTAAAAAACGTCAACCTGCTAGTGCAGACTGACTACATCAGCTGACACTTTCAAACAGCTGAACGCAGAAATACTTGTAAATATTTTATTTTGTTCCTTTGTTTAGCAGTAATAATGCGTGGTTGCGGCAGCCCTAACCACCCGTGTGTGTTAACACCTGTAATTCCCCGGTCTGCACCAACCTTATTCTGGTTTTCTTGACAAGAACTGCTTGAAGAGTTTCAAGTTTTGTTTGACGTTTTGTTTTTGGTTGATATTCTGATGCTCTTTGTGTAACTATGGATTGTTAAAATTATTTATGACAGCATGTACCCTAACCTAAACCAAGTGGTAATATGAACAACACTCTAAGCAGCTTCTTGAATACGTGTTAGAGTTCAGGACGATTGGTTCTCCAGCAGAATGCATCTTTTTTTGCTGTTTCGATTAAAGAACAAAGTGGTGATGTTGTACAGCGACAATCGGCAGTAGTTTTTGGAATCCAATAGCGACACAGAGAGCTTAGTTTTTATTGGCTGTGGCAGAGCAGAGAGGCTGTGATAGACTAAAACTGAGCCTTTTTGCTTTTTGTTCTCATGCGTTTCCCATCGAGTGGAGGCATCCTGTCTCTTGTGGTTGTTCCCTTTTTAAAGGCAGAAATTAGGCCCTACAGCCGTCCAAAACTGTAAATTATTGTTGAGGGGTAATATGTTGGAGTTATAACCTTTTTCTCTCTTTATTTGCCTTCCCCTTTCTGTTTGTCTTTGTTTCCTCGCTGTAGTTTGAACTCCACCACAAGGCGAAGCTCTGCTGCGCTCAGAGTGTACAGGGGCAGCGAGCCAGAGACTGAGGTAAATGCACAAGCATTCAGACCTCATAGGGTGTGTGGGGGGGAAATTAAATTTGCAGGCTTGTTAAAAACATTAACACACATCCCTAATTTAGACATCGCTATCAACTTGAACACGTGAGCCCAGTGGGACATGAAGCATCTGTCTGTTTTTATCCAGCTCAGTTGTAACCTGAATGTCTTCTTTGCTTTGTAGAGAGCTCGCTGCTGCTTCTGCTGGGGAAATGACACGGGTGAGAAACTGATTTTTTTTCATGAAGTACCAGCCCCATTTACCTTCTCACCACACAGTGTGTATGCACACTTAATGTTGTTCCATAGCCAGCGTGAGTGTGGTGAAAAAGCATTGGTCAACAAACCCAGATGATGGCACTGTTACTAGGTTGGTGCAATATTGACCAGAGTGAAACAAAAGTGTGTTCACACTGCCACCTGCTGGAAATCAGACATAAGAGAATGTAACCAACATGAAGTGATAACGTTTTGTTTCTTCACTCATGTTTCAGCCTCACTGAAAGAGTCATTGTGTTTTTCAGAAGAAAATGACGAGGAAAAAACTGGTTCGGGTCAGAACGTGGTATATGATGAGCAAGAAGGAACCATCTACTCCTACTCCCTCTTCCACTTTGTCTTCTTTTTGGGCTCTCTTTACGTCATGATGACCGTCACCAACTGGTTTCAGTAAGCGACGCTTCAACATATGTGTATAGAAAAGCTTAAGGAATGGCCCAAGTGCATTTGAAAAAATTTAAAATGCATTGCAGTGAAACATGTAATCAAATATACTTTAAGCAGATTGTAGAATCAATGTTGTATGATGTCAGCTGATATTTTCAATTTTTGCTGCAGTTCTCTGTGTTTGATTGCACCTATATTTACTTTTATCTATTTTGCATGAGCTTTTTTCTGTTTTAGACCTTTGAACTATTTGGTTTCTCTTTTGCCACCACTGATATGTTCATTTAGTCTGAATAATAGTAAGGCCCTTCTCAGTCCTGCTCAGCTGTTTTAACTACTCGCCTCTCTTGCAGTTACGATGACCATAAGATCGAGAAGCTGTTGGACGGGAGCTGGTCAGTGTTTTGGCTTAAGATGGTCTCCTGTTGGGTCTGTCTCCTCGTCTACATCATGACCCTCATCGCTCCGATGATGTGCCCGAAGCACTTCGAGGCCTAAATCAAACATCTTTACAGAAATGCCCGCCTGTCCTGCTCTGTAGGATGTGGCCATGATGAGCTTGGGACCACCATACTCCCCCTCTTTATCGTTAAACACAACCCCACACTACCCTCAAAATTAAAAAAAATATCTGTTGCCTTTTGTTTTGTATGTTACAGTCTTTGTTTTACAATTAAGCTGTAAATTCATTAATGGTAATTTGTTTTTATTGTTATTATGCTACCACTGACTGGAATTTTGTATTACTTACAGGTTTGAAGTGAAATGGGTAAAAAAAAAAAAAGCTGTTGGAGCTGAGTTACATTGAAAACTTCTGACTTGAACGTGATCGTTTATAGATTTTCTGTAGGCTTTTTTACGGATCCCCATTTTTCTTCTCTTAGCCAGGTATCTGTGAAGTCAAACCAGAAAATTGTAGCAAAGTTTTGAGCCAAACTTTGAGTTTTGGGGCAAATTTACTTCAAGAGAAATTACAAAAGACTATTTATTTAAAGGTAAATTAAAATAGATAAGGCCCTAACTTTGTTCAAAAACTCATTTCTCAGGCTCACATTTAATTCTGTGTTGATAATTTTATATATTGTTTTTTGTAGTTTTTCTATGCAACAGAATAAGAGCTTCTTAGTATTAATCACCTCCTGTTGTGAAGTTCCCATCTAGAGAATAAAAGTAAAGTTTTATTATTATCTGTGCTCCCTTTGAGCCAATCGTTTTCTTAGGAAAGTTTACATCATTTCTGCATTTCCAGTCGTCATTGTGCAGGGCAGCCCTCTTTAAATCAGCCTGCCTTTTGTGAGTCTGACTTCAGTGAAGTTCCACCTCTCTGGAAGAGCTCCACCAACTCAATGCTGCATTTGCCAAAGGTAGACAAGACAACGAAAAGAAATGAAAACTGTTCAAATTATCTGGTCTGTTACAGAGAAAGGAACTTTGTGTTTGCTTGTATTTACACATTCCTAACCCAACTTTTTGTTTTCTGTACAAGAAAATACCTTTTGGGTTGTTTTTGTTACGTGTGTCAGCACATCATGCTGCGGACAGTAGAGTGGTCCACCCTGGCTGATTTTAGGTGATTTATTCAACACTGGATGTTGAGTTGACTGCCATAATAAGATCTTTTTCCTGTATTAATTGTGTAGTAAGTACAGAATATTGTATATACAGGTCAGTTTTTTTGTCTAACATATTTTACAGACAACCTGTGTACAATTTGGCTACAGGCCTATAATCTGGATATTGTACTTTGAATTTGCTTTTGCTTAAACTTCTTTTGTAAAAAATATTTCTGCATTTTTTAACATCCACTTTGAATGTAGAAATGTCATGGTGCTTTCAAACACACACAAAAACTTTAAAAAAAAACATGATTATACGATTGTAAAGGCGAAAGACCTCAGTGAGATTTGACCAAACTGTTTGTAAGACAAAAATAAAGGTTACATGCAGAATCACATTACTTCATTAAAATGTTCAAAAAAGTTGTTCTTTATCAGTCTCATTTTATTTTAAACACATAAAAACATGGTTTAATTTTGCAAAATATTAAAGGTACTCGATACAATGTCATCAAGACCAGTAAAAAAAAACTTAAGGAATAAAACCTGCACTTTTTTCCTTTATATTGATTAATGTGTCCTTGAACTTGTAAATGCTGCTAAGGATACTGCCAAAGTGACAGAAAATAGGTCCGTAATGGATATTTGTGCATTGAAAAACTATTTTAAGTTGAGCAAGTCAGATAATTTCTATGCATTTATACATGTTACAAAAATTTCTTAAATAATGTAATTTGAAATATGAAAACGGTTTATTTCACCTGGTTTTGTAGAAAGTATATTTGTACACATGCACAGACTGCAGCCGGTCACATGACCCAAGCTTCCATGTGTTTTTTAGTGTATTGTTTACATTAAGTGTGTACCCACATTTCTGGATTGCATATCAGTATATCTGGTGAAACTTAAGTAAACTTTTTCAAAGTGCCCCATTTGATAGACTGTAGCTCAGGGTAACCTTTTAATGTTCGGTTTTGTAGTTTTTGAGTACCAATATACCCTGCCTGGCCAAAAAAAAGTTGCCTGGATTTAACTAAGCAAGTAGGTACGAGCCTCCTATTGGATAATTACTGCATGGGCGATTATCTTTTAGCTGCCAACAAGTTATTTAACCCTAACTGGTGCAACTTTTCATTTCTTCAACAACCGTGTCAAAAGACACATCGCGTGGTCGTGGAAAAGATGTCAGTCTGTTTGAGAAGAATCAAATCATTGGCATGCATCAAGCAGAGAAAACATCTAAGGAAATTGCAGAAACTACTAAAATTGGGTTAAGAACTGTCCAACGCATTATTAAAAACTGGAAGGATAGTGGGGACCCATCGTCTTCGAGGAAGAAATGTGGCTGGAAAAAAATCCTGAATGATCGTGATCAGTGATCACTTAAACATTTGGTGAAATCAAATCTAAGAAAAACAACAGTAGCACTCAGGGCTATGTTTAATAGTGAAAGTAAGATCATTTCCACATGCACAATGTGAAGGGAACTCAAGGGATTGGGACTGAACAGCTGTGTAGCCTTAAGAAAACCACTAACCAGTGAGGCTAACTGGAAAAAAAAGACTTCAGTTTGCTAAGGAGCATAAAGATTGGACTCTGGAGCAATGGAAGAAGGTCATGTAGTCTGATGAGTCCAGATTTACCCTGTTCCAGAGTGATGAGCACATCAGGGTAAGAAGAGAGGCAGGTGAAGTGATGCACCCATCATGACTAGTGCCTCGTCATCAGTGCAAGATCTTGGTGAAAAATTACTGCAACACTGTATGAAAATAGATCTTGTGACATTGCAGAAACTCATCGAAACAATGCCACAGAGAATGCTGCTGTAATCAAAGATAAAGGCGGTCCAAGGAAATGGCAGTGTAGCTTTGAGTTTTCACTGTAAAGCTTTGATGTAATTTAAAGTAATACATTGTATAGATAATTAAGTGATTTACTTGGTAAAGTATGTATTGTTTTCTGATATACTAAATGTAATTAATGGTTTGTTTCACTAAATCCCAGCACTACCTTTTTAAGTTGCCTTATTCTCACACTCTTCCGTTTTACTCTGGCTTCTTTTTTGGTTTTTGTCCCAAAGATGTTGCTCCGCCCGTTCACTTCACCCCACCCGCTGCCCCCTCACTCTGTTCTTGGCAGATCCTCAAAATCAGCAGGAATGGTGTCTGCAGGAAGCAGAAAAAAAAATCTCACGAGGATGTTTACATCTTGCACAGCTGCACAGTTTGTAGTTCTCAGGCACTCACCGTTGCAGCGGTACTTCAGGTTGGACCAGATGATGTTCTCCTGAGAGAAGCAGAACACGCCCAACCTCCCGCCTCTCATGCTGGTATCAATAATAACGCCTGTGTCCGCCACCAGGTTTGAGCCCTCATAAAAGCGAGCCCTGATTTGCACATGATTTGAAAACCACTGAGTTTATAAAATGTGTTTCATGTGTGTGTGTGTGTGTGTGTGTGTTTGTACCTGATGTATCCAACCTGTGGTCTGTGCTGGAGGAACCAACGGTAGGACACCTTGTCCTTCCAGCCGACGTTCCTGGGGTCTTTCCACAGGAGATGCACCTGGTTGGTGGTGTTTCCTGTGTGCCAGAGGGAGTTCCTCATGTACTCCCCAGGACCTGTCTTTGACTTCACAACCTGTCACGAGTCACATAAGATCAAATATGAATAAACAATCCAACTAATGACAGCAGACACCCTTCCCTCCACATGCACACACCTTGAGTTGTATCCCTGGCTCTGCAACAGCTCTGAAGGGCGCAGCCTGCCAGTAGGTTTGCTCAGTCTGTTTCCACATCACCACGTAGAAGGAGGACGAGTCCTGGTAGCCGAAAATGAAGCCAGCATAATCATCGTCTGTCACTGTGTTCACGTGGAACGTTCCTTCAAAGTCAACACCACTGAAGGCTTTATAGCCTGCAGATTGACATGGGGAAAAAAGTAAATTTTATTTATATATCACCTTTCATAGATAAAATCACAAAGAGCTTTATAGAAATACAGAATACAAGAGGCTTAAAATAAGGTAGGAACAGCTGATAAAAACCATAATCAATCAACCTTTCTTTAGACAGGTAAATCCCATTTAGCCTCGAGGACTCATTTACAAGAGAGACCTGATTTCAACAAAGAAAGATGACAACAATGGACAACAGCAACAACAATAAACAATTATAAAAAGTCATACTGCAGGTTTTTTTTTTTTTTTTTTTTTTTTTTAACAAATAGGATGGCTAAAAGGGAAAGGTAACAAAACAAACAAAAAAACCCAGCTAGATTTCAAGACAAATGTAGAAAACTAAAAACAGGAACATGTCATGTCATAAGAACAGCTGATAAAAACTGTAAGAACAGTTAATAAAAACAGTGAGAACAGCTGATAAAAATCAGAACAGCTGATAAAAACAGAACAGCTGATAAAAACAGAACAGCGGATAAAAACATTAAGAACATCTGATAAAAACAGTAAGAACAGTTGATAAAAACAGTAAGAACAGCTGATAAAAACAGTAAGAACAGCTGATAAAAACAGTGAGAACAGCTGATAAAACAGTGAGAACAGCTGATAAAAACAGTAAGAACAGCTGATAAAAACAGTGAGAACAGCTGATAAAAACTGTAAGAACAGCTGATAAAAACAGTAAGAACAGCTGATAAAAACAGTGAGAACAGCTGATAAAAACTGTAAGAACAGCTGATAAAAACAGTGAAAACAGCTGATAAAAACTGTGAAAACAGCTGATAAAAACTGTGAGAACATCTGATCAAAACAGTGAGAACAGCTGATAAAAACTGGAAGAACAGCTGATAAAAACTGAGAACAGCTGATAAAAACAGTGAGAAC